CTATAAATATTTCAGCGTTATTTTGTCCAGTTTTGCTCTACCAGTTTAACTTCCTTTTGCATTAAAATACATTGTATATAGGACTGAGATGGACCGCACTAAGAGGGAAAAAAAGCCTGGGGGAGGTGAATTCCCAAACCATATTCTGCCCCCATCCTAGGATTAAGAAATTAACAAAAATTCAATGTAAGAGAAGTGTCTCTGAGTGTGTGTGTGTGGGGGGTGGCTTGAAAAATATCCCATAGTTTAAAAGTCAGAGCTAGCCTGTGGGTAAAGGAATTAACTATAGTTTGTATAAGGAATTTACACAGGTTAAAGATTACACGAAGTTAACAACAGCCTCATTTGTCAAATAGCAGGTTGAACTAAGAGTCATACTTCAGTTTTGGTATTTAATTATCATTTCAAACAATGGAAAATTTCCCTAAAACCTCTAAAACACCTTTATTTGTCCTCCCTAAAATATATATTATTCACTAAGCTATTGAGGCCCTGTTGAAAATATACAACATTAGCTATGCACATTGTTAAACATAGTGTTCTGGTGACATTTAGCAGTGTTCAGTAATTGGCTTAATGAACAGGTGTACAAGTATATTAGTAATGCAGATGTTAATTTACAGAAACATGTGCCTCCTTGTTTTTATTTTTTTTTATTTTTTCATGGGGGGTATTGAGAGTGTCTTGTCTAAACTATAACCAGTAAGATTTGTTCCTTAATTAGGAAATCATTAGAAAGTATGTGTGTGTGATTTCTACCATTAGAACCATTCGTCTTGTTTAATGTGCTTTAAACTTCAGGAACACTCCTGGTAATGTCATTCCCCATGGCTTTAGGTACGATGCAGGTGTCAGAATGAAGTCTACCTTTCTGTGGGTCCCCATACTTAGTTCACAGCTGTAAGCAAGTTAGAGAGAAGTTTTACAGCTGCAATATACAGTGCTTGAGAGGAGATGGAAATAGTCTTGAACTGAACATGTACCTCAAATTTTGATGACAAATGTGTAATCCCTCACAAAATAGATTGAATGACAATTGAAAACAAATTGTGGTTACTAAAAGAAAAAAATACCAGTTGCTTACCAACCACGGACTAATATTTACCTGTGTTTTTTTATTATTCTTTTCCATGTTGCTTCTGATTCCTGTTTACACTAGATCCTGTGATTTGCAAAACTATTTACAAACTGTTTAAAGGGAAGAATATAGTTACATAATTTAGTGATACCATTTTTATGTTGAGAAAACTTGGCAATTTGCAAGTCCTAATAAAACAAATGCTCAGGTACCAGTCACAGAGAATGAACAACTGTAAACACTTACCCATATTTATTACTATTCTTTGTTTTTAATGAAATGAAACATTAGAGATAAAGTTGAGCTTCCAACGTTGTATTTACTGTAGTATCACTGTCCCCCAAAAGCAAGCAATTACTGATCTTCTGATTACTGCATTTATAATTTTAATATTATATATTATTTGGTTTATATCATATTATAAATGTCATATAATGTTAATATATTATAGCATATTAACCTATAATTATTTTGTAATTTTGTTCTGTATATTCATCTGTGAATAATACATAACATTGATTTATTCTATATTTTCATATAGAATGCCATTTCACTGCATGCACTGCTTTGTTTTTCATTCAACATTTAATATGGGCTCAGGATCAATTTTTATTGACAAGTTATAGTATATTCAGTGTAAATATTGTGTTGTATGGTATATTAATATGATGGAATACATTTTCTACTTCTTAATCCCTGGCATGTGGGTTGTTTCCAGTTTTTATGCTCTTACAGTCATTACCAAAGTTAACAATTTTCTTGTTTTGTTGGCTGTTTAACCTATACTTGTGTAGATATTTAAATCTTGTGTACCATTTTATGTCCATGATAGACTCAGTAGAGTAGGTGCTTAATATATAATTTGCTGGAAGAATGAAAGGATGGGTAGCACTGATGGCAACCTTAACACTCAATTGTTCTCATTGGAAATTTGATAAAGTAGTTATAAAAATGTTCCTTGGTTTATGGTTAGTTGTCTCTGTAAATCATGCATTATTACCCATTTAAAATATCTCAATATTTGCTACAAAATTCAAACATCTTGTCACATGTTCTGTTCATCTATTGGGAGAATAGAAATTAATTGGGGATTCCTGAACATTGCCTGTATTAGATTTGCCAAAGGATGTAACAATGTTTATTTATGCTGATGAGCGTCCCTCAGTTATAAGAGAATAAATTTATAGTACAGTTTTATGTAAAAATCAATGTATTAAAGGGAATAGACAATTGCTCAGAGGGCATTTTACTTTAGATAATTAGTATCTTGATTTAATAACTTTAACAATAATACAAATGTCTTTATTATTACATTATTTTCCTACAACTGGTTTTTTATGTTTCATAGTTATTCAATCTATTAGCATTGCCATTAACTCATTGGATTGAAAAGCTAAAAAAAAAAGAGATTTATTTATAAATGTAAGAATTGGGGTACAGGCCAAAGGTGAGGGTGAGACAGTAGGGAACGGAACAGGCAGATTGACTGAAAGTCACTGTGGAGGGGAGCAGCCCGCGAGATAGGAGAGGTCTTTCTTTCATGCCATGTTGGTCACCTCCCTGGCCTGGGATGGAACTTGGCCTGGGAGTGACTGTGAATAGCTTCATATTGCTGCGCTTCAACCTCTTGCACAACCAGGGAGGTCCCTGATTTTATATTCTTAACAGTAATAAAAGGTAGCATGATTATGACCATATGATTCAGTGATGAACTTTAGCAGCATGAGTTGGGGGCAGGAGCATATCACTCTATTAAAAAAAAGAAGTTTGCTTTACTTTTCTAAGAATATCTTTCACGGTCCCATTACACTATTTTTATATTAAAAGCAATGATCTGGTGAGCCCTCCTTGGTGGCGCAGCGGGTTAAAACACAGCACTAAGAAGCTAAAGCCACTTCCCATGAGTTCAATCTCCGCCTGCCCCGGAGGTGACCACATGGCAGGGCAGACCTACCCTGATCCACCTGCTGCTCCCCTCAGCAGTGTACTTCGATGATCTGCCTGTCCTGTTCCCCACTCTGTCTCTGGTGAATCCTCTCACTGACCCTGCACCTCTGGCCTGTACCCCAGTTCTGTATGGACAAATAAGTCTTAAAAAAAAAAAATGATCTGGCAACACTGGAATGTAACAGATGGTTCTCTATAAAAATGGGAGGTCCATGTTCCCTGCCCTTTATAATGAGGGGCAGAGCTGAGCAGCCAGGGGCATTTTGAAACATAGAAGATACACTTTGAGAGGATAGGAATAAAGACCACACAAGTGGACAAGAAGAGCTTGCTTGCCTCTCAGCCTTGGACTTACCCAGGCACTTAGGGAACAAAGGAGCCACAAGGGAGGGACATAAACAGACACTTTGAAGAGACCCGTGAGTGAAAGACTTGAGGATGGTGACAATGGCAGCTGTGAGTTTTATTTTGCATTTGAAGATTTCATTCCAGACTTGGGTGGTCCCTACTGCCCCTTTCCTATATGGTTCTCTGCTAGAAGGTACCTTAGACATGGGTCAAGCTTCCAGGCCTCAGTAGCCCTGTTTTGGGCCATGCCTGTTAAGTTGGGCATTTACCCATGGGGGCAGTAGTAATTTGGGAGTTTCATTGGGAAACTATATCCTTTCTTCTTTTTATTCTCCATGCATAATCATGCTATTAAAGATCCTATACATTGACTATGTTTTGTCTATATGCAAAACATGGCAGAATCCCTTCAGAGTGCAGGAATTTGGGAGTGCCAGTGTGCCCCTCAATCTGCCTGCTACACGAGAACAATGGTTGCTGCATAATTTCTGAATAACTGGGGTTAGAGTTTTAACATAATACTTCATTTTCATATTAGGAAGTCTTAATTTTTATTTTTTCTCGGGGTTCGGGTAACTCATTTCAGAGGCAGAATTAATGAAGCATATAGAGGAACACTAATACCACTGTCCACCATTGCCACTCCTCAGTTTCAGGTCATTTTAATTGTTTTCAATCAGAAAGTTAATTTCTAAATGAAGATAATGTTAATCTTTTGTTATTAAGAAAGCAGATAGTGGCCCTCCCTGGCCGCTCACCAGTTTATTGCTCAGCACTGCGAGCTAGTTGCAGCCACTTAAGTGCACATTTGATCCCCCACCCCAGAGGTGAACCACAAGGTGCAGCAGACCTCTCCTGTCTCGCTCGCTGCAGTGTACTGGTGGATCTGCCTGTTCTGCTCCCCACTCTGTCTCTGGTGAATCCTCTCACTGCCCCCACACGTCTGGCCTGTACCCCAGTTCTGTAAGCATTAATAAATAAATCTTTAAAAAGAAAAAAAAAGTTACTAGTAGAAGTCGTGGAGACAAAGCTAAAGCTAACTTATTTAAAAGACCATGTGTTTGATATTCATTCATTAATGTGTGTGAAAATGGGTGCTACTATTATACATCTTGCAAATGGTTTATATCTATTTTGTAAAGTCTCAGTAGTTTTTTTTTTTTTTTTATTGGTAGCCTCTTTAGCAGTAAAAGTTACCTTAGGTACTTTAAAGTAATTTTACTGAATTAAATTCATTTCTGTTTCAGCATATTTTAGGATAAATTCATTTCTTTTTCCTTAATTAGTCCGAATTAGAGACCTTTTTACAATATGTTTAATTCTAGTGCTGCTGTAGGTACTTGGTAAAGGAGTAATTAATTTTGCACATTAGGTAAGAAGCAGGAATTGATTTTTGGTTCTATTTGGCTTATCTTTTCAGCTTAAGTGCTGATACTATTTAATGTGCAAGGAAACCTGGAAACAGGTCTATATTTTTATATTCATTTTCTTCTTGAACTAATGGATAAAACACATGCATTGATTTTGTTATGAGTTTTATTAATGTATTTAATATGCCTTACTAATGTCATTCTGTGTATTTGTTGTTAGTACAATTATTGTTTATGAATCACCAACTTTCTTTCAGTTCCGAAAAATAAAGAAGCTTCAGAAGAGAAGAAAACTATGCCTGCAAAGAAGAAAATAAAAGAATTGAGAGTTTTGGATCCCAAAACAGCCCAGAATCTGTGTATGTGGTATTTTAAGCCTAACTGTGGTGGGAGGGGTTGTTGAATCTATTTAGGGCAAAGTTGTAGCTGCTTTGAAGAGGTAACTGTAAGCATCAACTAGAAGCAAAATTCTGTATTAACATGAAGTGGGTTTCTTCTTTGCCATTTGGTCAGTATGGAAAAATATCACATTTTAATTTGGGTTAGAGTAGATGAAACTTCTGAATAATCTTTGGAAAATACTCATAATTAAGCTTTGCTTAGAAACAGGCAGAATTGAAAAAGCCCCCCCCCCCCAGCCTGGGGTTGATAGTTTTAGAAAATTCACGTAGGCAAATTCTTTTACTGTTCTTTCTTTATATTTTAAGTAATTAATTTATAAGTTAGTAAATTTTTAATCACTGCACTTGAGAACTGGTTAGTGAACCTTAAAGATTTTAACAAACCATTAACTATAATTTTGCTAGAGCAGCTAGACAGTTAGCAACCTCTTCATTTAAGTAAGTCTTACATTTTGATTGGACATCATATTTTCTGTGTTGGATTCAGCTTTTTTTTTTTTTTTTTTTTTTGGTCACTAAACTCTGAGGCTACTTAACCACTATGCATGAGAAATTTCAACACATCAGGCATTTCTAATTACACAAAGAATTGCCAAGGGAATTTATTTTGTTGGGGAAATGTGCTATAGGGGAAAAGAATTAAATAAACAACTTATCATTCTCATGTCAGTAGGAACATTGCTGTCAGAAATATGGCCTCTAAATAGCTGTTGTGAATGTGTACATTGCTTACCTGACAGTAAATTTTCCTCAGAAAATGGTGTTTAATACATTTTTAGAAGCACTGTATGATCTTAATTCCTTGGTGATATGTCAACATTATTTAATTTATTTTATGGAGGTCTCATCTGGAGTTTATGTCACAGTAATCATTTAAGTACAAAGTAAGCCTTTTTCCATTTAAAAAACAGTGAAGTCACATAGGCCTTTTCACATACCTGTTTTTTGGAGGTTTAAGTGGAATGTATTATTAAAAATTACCTCTAAATTAGTGTAACTTTTGTAAGTATAATTTGTTATTTTTTCTGAGATAACATAATATATATATATATAATTAAGAGAACTGAAAGGGATATAGTGATTCAACATATAATACAATAATATAATAAATTTCAGGATAGACATTGGCGATCAGACACTTGGCTTTTTATATGTGGGAAAATTGAAAATATGTTGATAAGATTTTCTTCAATTTGGTTGCTATGTTATACCTGAGAAGTACTGTGTTAAGTACATCTCACAATCTTCACACCTGATTCCACCTTGAATTAAAAGACAAGCTTGCAATATAATTTCTAACTTTTCATGGGTGATTTTGTATCAGATCAATCTGAAATGCTTAATCATGCCATCATCAGTATTATTAGTAGGAGTTTTATTTGAATATGAATATACTTGCCTAATCTGTCAAATAGAAACTACTTTGTTCATAACTATAAATTAATGTTCAGTGTTAGAAATTTCCTATTTTGAGTCTATAAAATGGGAATAGGTATTTGTTAGGACTTTAAAATTCTGATGCCATTCTATTTTTAGTAACATCACTTTATTTCTTTAAGCTATCTTCCTCGGATCATATCGTATGCCATATGAAGAAATTAAGAACATTATTTTGGAGGTTAATGAAACCATGTTGAGTGAGGCCTTAATTCAGGTAACTTCATATTTTCCTTTTTATGTTTGTTTTCATGGGCATTTCTAAACAGCTGCATTCTCAAAGGAGCTGTGAGCAAATGCTTTATGAAATCAGTAGTATATATTCGTATTAATCGTAAAAGAATTCAATATAGATGATCTAGGTTTAAGGTCTATTTCTGCCATTTAGTAGATATGCATAAATTTAAAAGGATGCATATGTAGACCTATTTCCTGTTGTTCAATGTACACAAAGTTGCCTGTATTTCATCATCACAATGATGCTCTTAAGTAGATATGATAATTTTATAGATATAAAAGCAGAAATGTCAAGAGGTTAAATAGCTCGTTTAAAAATGAAAGGATAAATGTTACCCTTTTTTGACATTTAAATTTGCAAATTATATACAATACATTATATGTTATCTTATTGAATAATAATTCTATGAGATAATCACTATTAATTTTACAGATAAGGAAATTTAGGCTTACAGGGATTGCCCAATGTCATATTGTTGGTTAAGTGGACAGTTACAGTACTGAAATTTTAAAATAGGTATATGGCGCCTCTAAAGTCCACTACCCTTTCTATTCTATTACTCTGCCTCTTGTGGGTAAACTATTTCAGCTTGCTAAACTTTTGTCTTTTTATTTGAGATTGTAGGGCCACTCTGAGCAATAAATCATATAGAGTGTTTTGTAGAATAAAGTACTATACAAAATTGAACATACTGTTATAATTCTTGGTATATCTAGCCCTGTCTGGCTTAATTTCTGGAGGAATGGAATCACAGGAGGGCTTAGTCATTGTAGTTTTGTTGTTTGCTGTTTAGTTGTGTCATGTTTTTGGTTTTAAGAAGACCAAGTAGTTATGCTATCATTTTGCAATATCCTGGCATGATTGACTCTGTCTCTCAATCTTGGAGAGCAAATCCATTGTTTATTACTTGAGTAGGTCATGTAACTTGGAAATTCCTCCATTTTTTTTTAAAGTGTAGGCTTGTGATACTTTTCCCATTATATATGGCTTAAGTATAGATACTTTTAGTTTCAATATGAATAAATTTAATGAGTTTATATAAGCTCTTTTTTTTTTTTTTTACAATCTATCACTCCCTATAGTTACATTTTTATAGTAAATCCCCTTGTGAACAATTTGTTTGAAAAAAGATATTCTTTGTGCAACTAGCAAATTCTTATTTGAAAGTAGAGTATTAAGCACATTTGTTTTGAATCTCTTAATCTCATGATTCTTTGCATGATTGTAAGAATGAGTAAGGCATTGTGGCTAAATATGATCAAGTTTTCCCTATCTTTACAATTTCAGATTTTAATTTTAAAGTACAACAGTTCAAACAAATTTTTGACAGCCTTCACAAAAAAAGGCTAGTTGCTAGACTTTCTGTATAATCATCTTATTGTAAACTATAACCATATTTTCCTGGCTTAATCAATATAGTTATTTATTTTATCCAATAAGACATTGTAGCTTTTCCTTCACATGCCTTACTAAATAAAAAATATATTATGAATTCCGACCAAAAAAAAAAAGTTCCTGGTAAGAATGGTTTTGTAATTAAGTGAAAGTCAGCTCCTTTTTCTATAGAGATGTTAGCAAACTAGTAAGCTATGAAAGGCAAAGTAGTAAGCTTAAGTGAGTTTACTAGTTACATGCAGTTGAACAAGCAGATCAGTCTTTTCTGCTCTAAAGAAGAAACATATGCTTTAATCATTTATGTGAAAAGAACTGTGACCATTAATTCTAGTATGCACGGGACATATTTTATATTCTTTTTTTTTTTTTTAAAGAGTGGATGGGATACCGTTCAGTTTTATAAAATATGCAGGGTGTTACTGTAGTAATTTGCAGTAATGACTAAAAGTATGTATTATTTTAAATCATATTTTGAACTCTGAGGAATGTAGAAACAGATATTCACTCATGAACGTCCTAATATGTAGAAAGCTTTTCAAATGTGTGTATAGAAATGAATCACCTTATATTTTTTTCAATTTTACTTAACTATGTAGCATAAAAATAAATATTTGGTTTTTTTCTTGAAATTATATAAGACTGGTCCAGTCATGAGGAATGAATTGCTTGCATTTTGAAGATTGTAGTAAATTATGTCTAAATTCTTGAACTCATTGGTTTAATATTCTACACCATATGGTCAAAACCACTGTTTGAGAAATTATATGCTGAATCTTGCGTTGTACTCTGGGACCGTGAATGAAGGAAAATCATTAAGTGTAGATCTGTCCTGCCCAGCTCCTGTTGTATATATTGTAGACCCACTGCATCCAGACACTACCTGTTGGCTGTAAATTAGCTTATTGGACATATTTCATCTCTGCCGCCTCTCTAAACTTTTATTCTTTCTCTTTTTTCACGTATTTGTGTCTTCGGTTGAAAATATACAACTGATAAATTTCTCAAGCCAATTTGGTTTCCTTCTGAATACCAGATACTCTCAAATTCTTGGTCTATATACTACTCAGTCATGACTAATTTTCATAGTTCTGCTTGTAGGAGAAAACAATTTAACATGTCATTTAATAGTATGCACACTTGGGATTGTGCTGCTTGGGTGGGTTCAAGGCACAAATTATGAGTAATTCGTCTGAGCTATTAAACCAGATAAATCAAATGTCTGAGTATTTTTGCTAAGAAGGAAGGAAGGTCCAGGGTTAAAACATTATTTTGATTTTCCAACACCCAAAGGAGATGTCTTCTCTCAAGCAAAAGAAAAAACTGAACTCACTAGTGCCTCATTCTTTTTATTCTTTTAAACAATTATTTCAGTGATGCAAAAATAACATCACTTTACCATTCATAGGCACTATTTACCATTTATGGCTAATTACCATGTATCACATTGATAATGCATAGCATTAAATATGTATCATCAGATTAACTTTGTTGTAAGTTTGTTTGATTATAGTGCTAAGCTCCATCCATGCATAATCATTGTTGCTTATGCAGCATGGAAGTCCCCTCAAAACACTGAAAACAGCAAAAGCATTTAAAGGTGCATTGCTTTCCAGATCAGTCATACCAGCATTATCTCTACTACACTAAGTCAATACGTTCTTCTCTGCTAGATACAAATAGACTTTAGTTATTTTGCAGAATAAATCTCTTACCAAAAACTGCCCCCTGACATTTTATTTAACCAGCAAAAAAAAGTCTAAAATTCAAGGTTATTAATAATATTAATGTTTCCTTTATACAGACTATCTAAATCTATGCTCAATGATGAATTGAATGTAGAAGAAATCAGTATATCCTAAAACATAGGAACACATACAATCATTTAAAAATTGCTATATCCTGAGCTTGGTGACGTGTTTTTTTTTTTTTTTTTTTTAATACGTACAAATAAGTTAGCTTCAAATAATATATACCAAGTTTTTCAGCGATTTTGTGTGTGTGTGTGTGTGTGATTATTCAACTATAAAAATCTGCCCCAGTGGAATTTGAGTCATTGAAAGAGATATCTAAGACCAGTAAGTGATTTTTAAATATCAGTGGTGAAAACAAAATGTTTGTAAGCACATTTAAGCTACAAACTAGTACTGAAAAGTTACCAAATCCTTAATAAAAGCTAGCAAATCAAGTTCAACAGTTCATCAAAAGGGTCACACACCATGATTACATGGGACCTATTCTTGACAATCTAGATTGGTTCAACCTATCAACAAATAGGATGCATCACATTATCACATGAATAGAATGAAAGATAAATCAAGCAATCATTTCAATGGATGCAGAAACTTCATTTGATAAAATACCACATTTATTCATGATAAAACCTCAAGAAAATTTGGTTAAAGAAGGAGCTTACCTCAATATAATAAAGGTCATCTATGACAGCCCAAAGCTAATATCATACTCATTAGTGAAAGGTGGAAATATTTTAACAAGAGAAGGTTGTCCACTTTTCACCACTCAAATTCAACAAGTCAGGAAGACATAATCAGAGCAATCTAACAAGAAAAAAGCATCCAAATTGGAAAAGAATAAGCAACATTGTCACTAAAGATGACATGATCTTATTAAAGACTCCACTAAAGCTGTCAGAATTACTAAGCATATTCAATAAGGTCAGTTTATCTAACAACAAAGAACCTGGGTAGACATTTTTAAAAAAGGAAAAAAACAAAGCCCTATAAGTACCTGAAATGATATTCAATATCACAAATCTTCAGGGAAATGCAAATCAAAACCACAGTGAGATGTCACCTGTTAGTCTGGTTTTTATCAAAAAGACCAGAGTTAATAAGACCTGGAGAGTATATGGAGAAGAGGTAATCCTTGTACACTTGGTAGGAATGTTAATTGGCATAGCTGCTTTGGAAAACAGTATGGAGGTTTGCCAAAAAATTAAAATACAACTACCATATGGTTCAATAATCTCATGTTTGGGTACATCTCCAAACAATATAAAACTATTTTGTAGCCATTATCTTTATCCTCATGTCATTGCAGCATTTTTTTTTACAGTATCTAAGACCTAAAAACTAAGCATCCACTACATAAGGAAAATGTGATAACATATATAAAATGTTTTCAGCTAACAATTGGATGGAATTCCTGCCATTTGTGATAATACAGGTTCACCTCAAGGGCATTGTGTTAAGTCAAGTCAGACAAAAGACATGTGCTGTATGACCTCACTTATATTTTGAATTTAAAAAACTTGAACTCATAAAAAAAAGCAGATTGATATGTGCAAAGTGTGTGTGTGGGGGGGTAGAAGGTATGAAGTCACGCAATAATATATAATTCCAATAGTAATATGAATAATTTCTGGGGATATAAGTATATGGCATGGTATTATCATTAGTGATACTGTACTATATATAATCTGAAAATTGCTAAGAGAATCTAAAGTTGTTACCAACACACACAGAAAAATCACTGAGATGATAGATGGATAAAAAAGGGAATGATGGGTAAAAGCTAGAGACATGAAAGAAATATTCCGTATTTTGAAAAAGCTCAGAATTCACATA